CCAGACACACAACTCATGCACACCACAGGCCCCACCGTACCAATGGCTCCAAGGTCACCTAGCAGTCCCTTTGCAAAGTTCCCATCACAGCGAGTTGTGTCGTAGGTCCTTCGGTGCTTTCCGCACTGTTGCCCCGAGCACACCGAGTCGCCATTTTGTGCGTCGTCCCTTGGTGTTGACGTGGCAGGCTCGGTCAAGTTCCTCCAGCAGGCCATCGTGCTACTGCACTTTGAGGCATCGTACGAGCCTGCCATCGTCTGCGGGGACCTATTGGACGCGCATCACATTGAAAGTTCCCTTCGAACAGACTCGAATCCCCGTGGCGAATGGATTCCAACCGACGCTGTGGCCATCCACGTTAGTTGGTCCAAATCAACTATCTCGAACTAGTTGGTGACTAGTGGTCGTTAGGATGACCACGTCGAGTTCGAGTACAACGTCGACGCTGAGAAAGGGTGGAACTATCGGTGGCTGGGTGGGTCGTCTACCCAGCAACGGCGCTGCTGGCACTGCATCAAGGTCACTCGCTTCTTAGCTAAATGCAACCCCCCTTCCAACCCTTGGCATTAGGCGTATGTGTTGGTTCAGGTGGAGGGCCCCGAACGCTCCAGGAAGCTCCAGGTGGTCGCCATCGCGCAGTCGCCTCCGTTTGTCGTCATGTCGTACCGCCGAGCATGCAAATCGTGTCAGAAAAAGTCGCGGGCGGACCCGGTGCTGTCTACCACGAGTCGCGAGGCGTGCGAGTGCGAAGGCATTTACCGGCTCGGCGACACCCACTTGGACGAAATCATTTCCACCGGCGCGACGCACGTGGCCATTCTGCCTCAGTGGCAGGCGGCGGCGTCATCACGGAACAAGCCAACGACAGAGGACATGGAGCGCCACCTGGGCTTGCTCTACGGCGTGCTCACATCAACCCCCGCAGCCATCGCCCTCGACTCGGCGCTGTTCCAACAGACTCTGGGGCTGCTGTGTGACGACGGGAAGGCCACGCCCAACCAGCCCACGTCGCAGACGAATACACCCACGACGAGTGTTTTATTGGCGCTCCTACGTGGCAGAGCGGCGTCGGACTTGTTTCTGCGACGACATGCCGCCGTGATCTTGGACCAGCACGATTTGTTCCGACTGTACGAGCGATGGCTGGGGCAGCTGTACGATATCGTCGACGCAGCTGTGCGACCCACCCACGACACGGCGGCGGTGTATTTCGAGTCTTTAGCTGCAATCAGCACCGCCTCGACCACGTCATCACCGACAGGCTTTGAAGCGTTTGTCGCCCAACTCCGAGAAGTATACCTGGTACAAATATATATATATACATATATAGTGCTTTTTGCTGTTCTACTAGAGATATCCTTTTACATGTACTCTGTCGTACGAATATATATATATATATATATATATATATATATGTCTTCTTGGCTTTGATATGGTAGGCCCTAGAGTATACTCCGCCACGAATGGATTTGTCGTCATCGTCGTTAGCGTGGGACGGCACGTGGCGCTTTCACAGCCCAGCATTCCAAGTCGATTCCTCTGGCTTGATGACAAGTGTGCTGACTGTAGTGCGAAGTCTGAGCATGGGACTTGGGTTTCACCTGGTGCTGTCGCCCCCTTCCCTTTTTGTACGTAGATATGTTGTCAATATATATATATATATCTATAATTTACGTAGGTTCGATCGGAATTGGCGCTGTTCTCTACGATTTGGTCCGAGTTTGTCCTGGACGGCAAGCCGCGGGTGCTGCGGGTGTTTCCCAATGGCGAGTCCACCATGTCGAATGCCGGCGGTCTCATGTATGGAGATTACATGGGGTTTACCATCGATGCCAACCGCACCCTGTGTGTGGACGTGGTTTGCTGGCCAGTCCAGGGCGGTACCGCCTCGTGTTATGTCATTCGACTGGTGCTCCGCCGGTCCCTTCCCCATTTCCTGCAAATCAGCGCCACCGTGCAAGTTACCCATAAGGTCACGGACCAAATCACGTGGAACATGACAGCTGCGGAACGTATGGACGTGCTGCGTCGGTACACGCTCGCAACGGTGTTGGTCGTGGAGGTTGGGTA